TTTGGTCGCAGTCTCTTCTCGCTGTAGTGTTGGTTTTACCTCGTTTTCGCAACTTGCCCCAGTTGTTCAGCGTGACTTAGTTCGATGCAGCTTGTTCGTAGACCTCTGCAACAGCAGTTATGATAATTCCAAGCATCAGATCTAGGATTCGATAAATTCCCAGACATTTCGCAGACACCGTCAGTGAGTCTTGCCAGTCTTAGCTGCAAGCTACTACTTTTAAAAGAGACAAGAGTTGTAGCCTGGTGTCAAGAATGGAAAGACTCACTGAGGTTGCCAACTACCAGGCCAGTGGAATGTCTGGTAATGTATCAAGTAAACCGTCCAACACCAGCAATTATTATACATCTTATAAAAGAGGACTACGGACAAGGTGCCTCCAAATAAGTTACCCTGACAACACGACCAAATTGCGAAAACGAGGTCAGACCATTTCTAGCGAGCAAGGCAAATGTTCAATTAATGCTTATACTACTCTTAAAATTACTCATGTATTTGGATATAAGTAATTTTTTTGATAAATACTTGTTGAAACATGACAATCTTCCGTTCCTACCATCCAGAACAAGGCATGGGAAAGATGTGAGCACTGCTGCGAACAAGTTCAACCTCATCGGCGACAGCTATGCCGTGGAGAAGGTTGAAAATGGGCCGCACACCTGCCAACCGGCCCCGCCGCAACCGGAGACTTTCTGTACCTCAGAGCTGGTCAAGCGGCAGATGGACGATAGCAAGCTTTGTGGTGCTCTGATCGACACCTCTGGTCCATTTGGAGCCTGCTTGGCGAAGCACAAAAAGGAGGCGGAGCAATTGCACGAAAGCTGTATCATTGACTTGTGCGCCAACGCCAAAGACGAGAAGGCACTCAAACGGTCTAAATGCGAGATATTTAAGGTGGGCGGAACTTTTCTTTAATTAATGAAGCATCTCGTCCTATTACTGAGAATAATTCGATATCCATTAAGGTTACAACGCCTATGTGATGCAGAAACACCCCAGAGATCTTTTCTTGTTAGAATTATCCTCCTTTAAGCTAGATTGGCTGTCTGAACAAAGAGATTATGGCGTCGAATTTGAGTGTTTCCCCAGTTGATCCTCTGAGGCGTACGCTTGAAGTTGTCATATAGCGAGTCAATTATATTCAATCCAATCAATTACAATCACTGCCTTACTTTTGCTCGGCATAATTTTCTTGATCCCTAATATATTATTTTCTCCAAAGTGACAGTAACGCTGAAGTGTCATCTGCACAGTACTTAGGTACGTAGGATGAACAGCATGTGTCTGAACAAAGAACGGACTTTGTATAACCTCACAACTCCCTAGGATCACTATTTCGGACGCTCTTAAGTATCGAGATCAAATTATCTCTAAAGCAGCTCTGATAAAGTGGCAAAATTTGTAGATATTCACCAAATTTAACCTTATTCTGCTTGAAGATATGAAGACCAAGATGTTGTGGCCACTGGTGTAGTCGCAGTCTCCTTTCGATTTATTGAAGTTGGTTGACCTCGCTGTAGCAAATTGGTATTGTTGTCAGGGGGACTTAGTAAAACGCACCTAGTCCGAAGTCCTCTGCCATAGTA